TTTTAATCCTAGAATTTCCAGTGGGGTCTATATCTTCACTGGCTTTTAAAACACGTTTTTATAACCTGTTTATGAAGCAAATTACTGTGTTTTCTACAGGGTCTATAATATCTCACACAAAACAAATAAGTAAAAATGTCAACAATAATCCTACAATTACCAGTGGGATCTATATCCTCACTGGCTTTTAAAACACGTTTTTATAACCTGCTTAGAAAGCAAATTATTGTGTTTTCTACAGGGTCTATAATATCAAACACAAAACAAATAAGTAAAAATGTCAACAATACTGCAGTTTGCACTGAATGTTGTAACAGGTAAAAACGCTAAATTATTCAATATGGTGCACGAATACCGCTGCTCACTCTCCTATACCATATATATATATATACATATAACATTTTTAAAATGCTTTTCAGTTCTGTTTGGAACGTCCTAAGACCGGTCGAGGTCATGTGCTAAATTCGATCTTAACTGATACGTTTTGTAGCAAGGTCCGGAAACGAAAGTTATCTACTGTTACCTGGGGAATACAACTGTCCTCTAGACACAGGATAAATACAGCTGTCCTCTAGACACAGGATAAATACAGCTGTCCTCTAGATACAGGATAAAGTAGGACAAAATGCAGCTGTCATCTAGACACAGGATAAAGTAGGACAAAATGCAGCTGTCCTCTAGACACAGGATAAAGTAGGACAAAATGCAGCTGTCATCTAGACACAGGATAAAGTAGGACAAAATGCAGCTGTCCTCTAGACACAGGATAAAGTAGGACAAAATACAGCTGTCCTCTAGACACAGGATAAAGTAGGACAAAATGTAGCTGTCCTCTAGACACAGGATAAAGTAGGACAAAATACAGCTGTCCTCTAGACACAGGACAAATACAGCTCTCAGTCACAGAACATTCACCTACACAACTGTCACCACAATCACAGAATATTCACCTACACTATCGTCATAACAGTGACAGTACATTGTGGCTTGTGTATAGCGTTGTCATGTTGATTTCAATACTGAACATTAATTACAGTTTGTGTATGGTGCTGTCATGTCGAATTTAACACCGAACAATAATTAGTGATGGCTATGAACTCGGGACCACTTGATGATTGTAAAAAGTTTTACATTGATTATCTATTGCTGCGTGCTTGTCGTGTTATCACAGTTTCCTTCACTTCTTACATGAACAGATTGTAATCTTCCTCGTTTTCAGTCTTTCTTTGTAACTATAGGCATGTATATATACGTGGCACATAGTTACTTGATTTTCACACCGGCTAGAGATTCGGGGACTCACTATGTAGAAGAACAAATGTAATGATTTGTCACCGGTGGAGACAAAACACTATTATGATGTAGATAAAGTAAAGAGCTGATTGTTTAGAAGTAGAACTACTGTGTTGTTAAGTGAAATTATGTACAGTAAATAGACAACCATATTAAACATTAGGTAAAGGGAAAAATGGTATTTAATAAAGTATGCAAATAAAAGAAATACACACACACACACGATCAACAGACTGAATAATATAGAAAACAAAAACGAGACACCAACAGCAAGTCTTGACCTTGTTAAGATCAGAGCGAATCAGTCTGAAAACGTAAAAAACTACGTTCATACAATTCTCCTTTTCTCTGTAGCCGCCCAATTAGATAATATACGTAACAGTCGTGCAGCTGTCCTCTAGACACAGGATTTTTCTATAGCATTGCAAAGCAGCCTTCTTGCTTAGGTTTGAAGCAGATTCTTTCAAAGATCTTAGGGACACTTACATTCATTCATAATGCAAATACTTTTATATATTAAACACAGACTGTCGTTGGTCATCGGATATAAAACACAAAACAATCGCATACCACAGCAATCATTGAACAGGCGCGTACGCAAGTCGCACTGTATATCCAGAGCTGTCGCGCATACAAACGAAACCGAATTCCGAATAGTCGCATACACAAGCACCACTGGAGTCACAGACCAGTCACCTAGACGACCGCCACCACAATCACAGAACATTTGCCAACACGATCGTCACCACAGTCACAGAACATTTACCTACACTATCGTCACACAGTCACAGAACATTCACCAACACTATCGTCATAACAGTGACAGAACATTCACCAACACAACTGTCACCACAATCACAGAACATTCACCTACACAACTGTCACCACAATCACAGAACATTCACCAACACTATCGTCATAACAGTGACAGAACATTCACCTACACAACTGTCACCACAATCACAGAACATTCACCTACACAACTGTCACCACAATCACAGAACATTCACCTACACAACTGTCACCACAATCACAGAACATTCACCTACACTATCGTCACACAGTCACAGAACATTCACCTACACTATCGTCATAACTAGCATTGTAAGTCCGCAGACATACCGCTGTGCCACTGGGAAGCAAAACCGGGTTTCGATACCCGTGGTGGGCAGAGCACAGATAGCCCTTGTGTAGCTTTGTGCATAATTAAAAACAACAACAACAGCTATAGAAAAACAATTATTTACTTTGAACATCATCAATAAATCTTACACTCAGGCTCACTAATAAATAAAAATAATAAACTTTACAACACAATATATTAACGGCCCTTATTTTTTAATCCACTACTGAAACACACCAGTCTATATACTTGCCCTTGCACGTAGGCCCGCCGACAGGGGGGGCAAAGGGGCAACTGCCCAGGGGCCCGGGCGAATGAAACCTGGTTGTGCCGTAAAGCCCGCAAACCATCTTTAGGCTATATCGTCATTTAATGATAAAAATCATAGTTTTTAGATTTTCTTTGCATATAGACGCTTGATACATTAAGAATGACTGAACTGTATTTGTTACTTTATAGATTTAATAAATATTTGTTGTTACTTTATTAACGTTTTCACACTTATACTGCGAGGTAAAAACGGCTGCTGCTATGATTTTGTCTGGTTTATAAGTTCGTTGCTGTCCTAATTTAGGATCTTCTTTTTAATAAATTCTTGAAAATGTTAAAAAAAAAGAGAGAGAGAAAGGGGGCCCGGCGAGGATGTTTGCCCCGGGGCCCGTGTTGGCTCTCGACATCCCTGCTTGCGCGTGCATGTGTATCCCAATACACATTAGTGTGAACTTGTATTATTCCTTACACTTGTAAAGCGCAATACATAGTTAATTTCACGCGGACTTCTTTGATTAAATGTATTCAGTTGAGATAGTTTGCCTAGATGCAAAGCAACTGGTGTCTGCATTAATAAGGTTTTCCTATCTCGTGCTCTTTTCTGGTTTCTAAAATGATCAGTTTAATTCTAGGGATATTTTATGGCTTCATATAACACACACACACTCAATAACAGTAAATTTATGTTTCATACGTTTGTTTGTTTCGAGGGCTATCTGCGCTAGCCGTCCTTAATTTAGCAGTGTAAGACTAGAGGGAAGGCAGCTAGTCATCACCACCCACCGCCAACTCTTGGGTTACTCTTTTACCAACGAATAGTGGGATTGACTGAAAAGCCGAGCATGTTTGGTGGGACGGGGATTCGAACCCGCGACCCACAGATTGCAAGTCGAGATCCCTACCCACCTGGCCATGCCGGGCATCTGCAATAGAATTTGAGACTTTTCAGACTAATATTAAATGACATTCTTATCTCACTCTCTAAATATGAATTCTTCAAACATATCCATTAACTTTCATAATATCAATTTAATCAACTTTTGGTTTGTTACCGAGACTTTGGATGAACTATTAAACAGTCAAACTCTAAAATAAACAATCATTTGTATTATATATATAGACATTAACTTAGCACTGTTTTTGTAAATTGCGAGAGGATTATACGGGTATGTATTCAGAGGCTTTTAAGAAACTTCTCATGTATAAACAACGCCCCCCCCCCCCCAGTGGCACAGCGGTATGGAGCTTTGTGCAAAACTCAACAAACAAACAAAAAACATATTTCGTCAGTTTCTACGCCATTAACAGTTAGTGGCATCAATATGCAAATCGAAGGGTCGTCTAAATATTTCCAGGAAATATATGAAAATAAAAGGATAAGCTGTTTATGAGTTGTAAATGACTGTGCAAGACTTATCGATTACCTACTCCACTGAAATAGCTAAAGCTCTGGCTAAAGAGAACAGTTTTCACACGGTAAATGCCCCCCCCCAGTAGCATGTATGCGGACTTACAACATTAGAATCCGGGTTTCGATACCCGTGGTGGGTAGAGCACAGATAGCCCATTGTGTAGCTTTGTGCTTAATTACAAACAAACAGTAAACAACGTCAATATTTGACGTTGTAATTGCACACCAGTAGTAGACAACATACTTCATCCGATGCACATAGCAAGGTTCGTGTGGTTTGAGTTTTATCGCCTTTCTCAGAAAATATTAAATTGTTGTTTTAGCAAGAATTTGATCATTATACTTTAAATAGATGATACAAACATAAATATTATTCAACGACAAAAAGTCATCTGCAGAATGACTTTACGTATGCTCAAGTTGCAAATTTAAGTATACAGGTTACACAGCCAGAAGTCTTCAGCAAAGATGCAAAGAACATCGGAGTTTAAAAACTAAAGTCAGAAATCATACATTGGAGTGCAGTGTTAGCCATCCAAAAAGAAGTTCAAAATGACTTTACAAGCCAGCAAAGAAAGTGGTTTACGTCATTGGAAACCATTGTCATTAAAGTTAGAAAATCAGTGCTCAACAACAGGGAGCAGGCTCTACCTCTAAAACGCCTGCAAATAGTCAAGTTCTTATTTAGCCTGTTGGTCTACTTTTATTTTTAAACAAAAGTTAAATCTATACACAGAAAATTTTTTTCTATGTTGATATGACTGAACACAAAGTCTCCATATCATATTTCTGCTTAATATTAAGTTGTAGACTAAACTATGAATCTATTTATGTTGAAACAAAAAAGTTTCCGGAATTAAAGTTCAGTTTAGTAAAACTCAGGGCAAGAAGTGAGAACTATACCTTTAAACCTATACCTGCGACAAGGTGTTCGCTGCAAATCCTATAGAGTGCTTGTAGATGCCAATGTTTTTCCTTTAGTGCACTGGTTCACAGTATTTGTTGTGGAGTCCTGTAAAAAAAGATAATCCATTGTTGTTGTTTTTCGTGTCGATTTGTGCAACCAATCACATAGCAACCTGTATAAGTACTATGTCTACAAGAGACACACAGTACGTCATTGTGACGTGTCTTTACGGTAGCCTGCTTGAGCAGCAACCAGAGGCAACAGCACAGCTGCTTTTTTTATTAAAACTGCCGTTTGGAGCGCTACGATTAGCGTGATTACACTTTTCGGGCTAGGTGAGACGTCTTAGCGATAATGTGCCTTCGGATGTATTAAGTTTGTTTGTTTTGGTGCAAACTTATACGATGGGCTATCTGCACTCTGTACACTGTGGGAAATTTAATCCCGGATTTTAGCGGTGTAATTCAGGAAACTTACCGCTGACCCACTGGGTGACCAGTAAGTAAGTAAATTCAAAGTCAAGCCGTCATGTCTGAGTTCATTTAAATGTAATTTTTGTTGGTACACTGTTAAACAAGTTTTCAATACTAGGAGAGCAGTTACTTCAATTCAAAATGAAAATTTTGCTCATGGGACAAAAAAAAATTCCTCATTACTTCCTTAAAAACAAATTAGCTTAAATATTTCCAAATTTCACAATACTAAACACTGTGTTTGTTGTATCCCAATTTGCCTAAAGAGTTCTGAGTTGAGCGAAACGCATCGTCGGTAATAGATAAGGCGAACATAGTGTTCTAATTCTTGAACATCTTTAAGGGGTTAGATAAAGAATATAGTGCTTTAAAATATAATAGACCTAATACTTAGACGATAAACCAAGTACTGGTCACTTTGGTGCTTTATATTTGTTCAGAAACATTCCGTCCATTGTATTGGCTGCTATATTAACGTATAGGTTTGGCTGTAGTCGATTCAAACTGTTCTAATTATTCAGAAACGTCTAAAAATGTATGGATATATATAGTTTGTTTGTAATTAAGCACAAAGCTACACAATGAGCTATCTGTGCTCTGCCCACCACGCGTATCAAAACCCGGTTTTTAGCGTTGTAAGTCCGCAGACATACCGCTGTGCCACTGGGGGGCTGTATATATATAGTTTGTTTTTGTTTGTTTGTTTGTTTGTTTTTTGAATTTTCGCGCAAAGCTACACGAGGGCTATCTGCGCTAGCCGTACCTAATTTAGCAGTGTAAGTCTAGAGGGAAGGCAGCTTGTCATCACCACCCACCGCCAACTCTTGGGCTACTCTTGTACCAACGAATAGTGGGATTGACCGTCACATTATAACGCCCCCACATCTGAAAGGGCGAGCATGTTTGGTGGGACGGGGATTCGAACCCGCGACCCACAGATTGCGAGTCGAGCGCCTTATCCACCTGGCCATGCCGGGCCAAACTAGAGGGCTGTGTTGAAGCAGGATTAGATGCATAGTAAAACACAATGAAGGGTTAAATATATAATAAAAAAAAACATTTTACGTATAATAGCTAAAGTTTTGGTTCCTTACAAGTGTGGGAATAAGTGTGTGCCTTTTGTTTCTGGATGTCTTTCTGTTTATTCGTTAACAACAGAGCTACACAATGGGCTATCTATGCTGTGCCCACCACTTACGTAGAAATACCCGATTGACCGCATTATATCAAAATAAGTTTGGAATGTCGAGGTTTTCCAGGTACTGCCAATTTCAGACAGTCTCTATGTGCTTACTCAGGATTGGGTCATAATAACCTAAAAGTTGTCTTTCCCAGATTGTTGTCTGATACTTCCAAAATGTTCCACAGATTGTTGTCTGATACTTCCAAAATGTTCCACAGATTGTTGTCTGATACTTCCAAAATGTTCCACAGATTGTTGTCTGATACTTCC